TTTTGCAGCCTTTGATTTTGCTAGCATACTCACCAAATGATACATGATGTTGACATTTAAATACACTTTTTAATTTTTCATCATCTTTATTATTGAATGTTAATTAAAAAGGAATATTTCATAGCTAACTAGAATTAATAATACCGTTGTTCTAAAATAATTTAGGTACTTTATGTAAGCATTAGTTATGAAATTTTAGGTATTTATATATACTTATTTATATTTTCAGTTATTTCATCTTTTACCTTAGATATAATAATATATAAATTTTTATAATATGTAAAATTAGTTATGCATATTTTTAAATTTTATATTATAAAAAAATCATACTAAATAAGTATTAGTACTTAATTAAGTGTAGCAAAAATCCTTGATGTTTTAAATCTAAATTTTGGTTTTGATTATCAAAAATTCTGTCATATTTTATCATTATTAACTAAGTTTTATGTTTGGTTATTTTATTTCTCAATTTTTTTTATCTATAAATTACCTTTGATTTCTAATAATAATTAGTGTTAGATCATTAATACTATTACTAAAAAAATAAATAATATTGTATTTAAAAAATTAAAGTACCACAAACAAAAATTATAAATTTCAATTAATTGCACGGCCTTCCCCTTTCGCTCACGTGTCTCCGTCAACTTGTGCTTCTTCGGAACTAGTGTCGATTTAATGAGGATTATTTTTCTTCAAATTAATGATTTTTCTTTTATTATTTTACTTGTAAATTTTAATAAATCAATACGAGCTTATTATTTTCATTTAATATTAATTTTGTCCTTACACAACTATATAAAGTAATAGTAAACAAAATTAAAAAATTTAAATATTATAAATAATTTTAATATGATAAAATTATTTTGTCTTATAAAAACAATTAAATATTCTTTTTGTATGTAAACAATTTCTGATAGAATAAAAAATTCAATTAACGGAAAAAAGGAATATGAAAAATAATTAGTCAAATAAATTAACAATTAATTATACTAAATATATATGATAAAATTATTCAAAAAAATTAAAATAAATATCAACATAAATACTAGCTATTATTGGGGCCGTGCATATCTTTACTAGCATACTTATCGTCTGTTTTAAGTTCAAGATCATGTTTTACTTAGTTAAACCTAAAGGAGTCTGTAATATCCTCTGATGGATTATAATTTTCTTTGTTAACTTTGTACTGGATAAAGTTGTCATCTTGATTTAACATTAAGATATTGTACTGACTAAATTTTTCTTTTTCTATTGTACAATTGAATTTGTATTATACTTTTATTTATATAACTGATTTAATTCTTGATTAGGTCATGCAATTTTTAATTTTAACTATGACTATAAGATATGTACCAAAATATAATATTTTATGTAGGATTTTTGATAATAGAAATATCAAAAAATGTATTTTATAACCTAATAGAAACTCCCACGCTGTAAAATTGTGGCCATAGGGATGGTATGGTGTATATGGAAGGCATATAGGCAAAGCCGCAAAGGCTACGGTTTATAAGTGTGACCAATAAAGAAACAAAGGGTCACACTTTCAAAGTATAGCTCCAGGTCGTGTTGTTATATGAGTTGTAACAAGCGCGGTCTTTGATATCATTAAGTCATGTTTTTTAGCGTGATTTATAAGACTATATTTAAATGTGTGGCTTTAGATTAAATCACAAAAGTTATATTAATTTTGTTCAATTTATAAAATCCTTATAAATTTTATGGTAATTAAGGCATAACCAATAATAATTGTATGAGGATATTATTTTCTTTTGACAAGTGTTTTTGTAAAAAAATTTTATTTCAAGCGAGGTACTATCAACAATAGTTATATAAGGCTTTTTTAACACATGAAATTGTGGAGACATTTTATCCTTTTAAGTCTGCTAAAAATCAAAGGAGAGAATATAAACTTTAATTAAAAATTAAAAAGAAAATATAGAATCCACGCCAAATTCCATTGAATATATTAAAAAAAATATTGAATTGAAGTGGCAGCCAAAAGGAGCCTCACACAACTGAAACTATGTGTGCCTCACACAATAATTTTTTTCCTGAAAGTTGGAAAGTGGTTTTTTATCAAAGGCACATTTTTCATAGATGGTTGAAGGCATAACATGTTGTAAGAGTTACCGGAGATTCTTCAAGTTTTTTCTCAATTTTCTTTTTGGGAATATCTATCACTCAACGGGTCCTAAATTCGAGTTGGAGTCCTAAATATGAATTAATTTTTGAGTTTTAACACAGAACACTAATAGTCTCTTATTTATAACAATAGTGTACTTTTGGTCCTCTCTCAAATTTCTTTTTATTTTGTAATATTGATTTTGTCCATAATTTTATATATAAAATGTTCAGTTTTTATTTTATTTTATATATGTAATAGAAATAATAACTCCATGTGAAAGAAGATAAGAAAGAACATTTTATTTCTTTCGTAGAAATGTTATTGCAACTAAATCAAAAACACCTTGTTAACTCCTGGATATTCAAAATAGTAAACTAGAAACAATTAAGATTACAAGAAATAGAATTAACAGAGTCAAATTAACCCAATGTGTGTCTTTAAAGAATTTAATCTCCTCAATGTACTCAAAATCATATATTGTTTCCTCCCAAGATAATATAGATAAACTATCAAAGAAATAGTGATACCTCAAATTTCAATAGCTTCAATGAATTCAAAAGTTTGCAACAAGATCACACACATATTCTATTTTGTTTGTAAGAAAATGAACACAAAAAAAGAAAATTTTAATTTAAAAAAATGAGAGAAAATTTCTTTATTTTTAACCAACAAAGAATAATATAAAAAGATATTATTTTGCTTCGATTTGAAATCATCCTAATATTTCACTTGGAGCAAAAATAATCCCTCTTTTTTATTAAGTTGTGCACATTTGGTCACTTTACTAACTGACCGTGAACTTTTAACAATCTTTTCCCCCCTAATATTGCAACAACAATTCCACAATTAAAAAAAATGAAGATTGTTATGTGCATAGTTCAAAAGATAGATTTAACTACTTTTCTTGGAGATTTGCTGAGAGTCATAGCTAAGAAAAGATATGAAAAACACAATAAATTTTCGCTAAATAAATTTCTTCTCTTTTGTCATTATGATCACATAATCGTCACTATGACTATAATTCAAATTTCCTTTTATGTTGATTTCCCTTTACTTGATATGCTTTTTAGAACTTTATTGTCATGAAAACTGGATAAAGAAACAAGTAAATTGTTGTTAGTATTTGTAATCAAAGATGAGATACAAAAGCCCATGTAAAAAAAAAGTAATTCCATGAAGGCTCATTACTCCCTCCGTTCATGTTTATTTATTTATATTTAACTTGATATACAAGTAAAGATATAATGGATAAAATTTTAACTTTGTTACATCATTCTTAATTGGTAAGTCATCCCATTCACTGAGAAATTAATAGTACTTAATAATAAGAATATGAAATGAAAACTTATCTCTTAATTTTTCAAAATAAAGGTGTCTTTATGTTTGTACAAGTTGTTTATAATATTTCAAATGGTTTTTGGTATTTATAGCCAAATGGATAATTATGTGAATATGTGCGTTTTAAATTGGAACAATAATCTAGGAAAATTATGTTTAGTTAAATTGTGAGTTAGAAATGCTACCGGGATAAAAGATTATAAAAAAAAGCTATATTTTCCGTAAAAAGTTAACTACTTAGTAAGCATACTAAAAAAACACTATTTTTTGGCAAATAAAAAGGACTATTATTGTTTTATATAAAAGAACAAGGATGAATGTGTGTCTATAAGCCAAAAGATGACGGACCATTTTTGACCTTTCCTCATAGAGTAATCTTCCCAATTCCTCTTGCGTCTTCTTCCCCATTGTTTCCCAAATTGAATTATGGAATTGATTGAATAGTTAAATCCCTAAGATCTGTGGGTTTCTTTAACACATTAGAGGATCATTTAGATTTAATTTTTATTTTTATGGAAGCAAAACTCTTAAGAATCCCATTAATGACTCCAATGGTAGTATATTATTTAGGGAAATGGTGAAACTTATATGGAAGACTTCTAATGTTTTTGAAGTGTTTGTGGATGAAGAGTTGGATGTTCTTGAAAATCTATAGGAAATTTTTTTACATTCAAACTTACTAATTACTAAATACTCGCGGAACAACGGAAAAAAATATATAAGTAGATTTGTGTCTAAATTGGGAATCAAAAATACCCAAGGGTTCGTTCGATATGTATTTGTAAGTATCCAATTATCGTTTTTATTAATTTATAACATTGTCATTCTAGTTGTAGGAAAAAATAAATTGTACAGAAAATTTTGGGAGTGTAAAATTGAGTGGTTGTTGCAAGAAGAGGGTATACATTTACTTTGCGTACTGCTGGACCTCCATTTAGTAGGGATCTGATTGAGCACGTCTCATCTTTAATCAACAACGGAAAGAAAGTAAATTACTAATGATAACTCATTTTCCCTCCTTTCCGAGCGTCTTCCTAGAGCTATTCTTTTTTTCTTTTTCTTTTCTATTTGTTAATGGGTCCATTTTTTTTGGTCTATTTTCTCTGTTGTACACTAAAGGGACTATTTTGAACATACATTGAAGCATCATTGATCATTTATGCCATTTTCTTTATAAGTTTAATATACAAACTTGCAGTGAATTTTATGAGAAAATGATACTGTATAGCTGCTCCCAAGAAATGTATATATATATTTGTATCTTATGTACAAGACATTTACAAAAAAAATGTAAATAGTTTTGTTTTTTGCCCCTTGTAATAATAATAATAATGTAGTTTTTTGTTTCGGGATAGAACCATTTCATGTAATTGTTTTTTTTTTCTAGTCAAACTTATTGCAACCTGGAGATGTTATGTCAAAGGAGGAAATTCAAGTTTACTTCGTTCAAAACAGATGCCAAGGACAACAAAAGTTGAGGTCATAGAAAGAGGAGGAGGACAATTTTAAAAAATTATGATTTCTTCTACAAAAAAAGAAGTAAATATCAAATCAGATTTTGTATTTCAAATTATCTTACAGAGCAATATCACTTCCATTCCAACTCCAATGTCATAACATCAGAGAGAAATGTGGATGAATTGGGTAGAACCAACCTATAAGGAAAAAAAAATAATAATTAAAGATGATTTAATCGTTTACATCATAAATATGAATCGACATGGAACAATTTGGGAATCAAAAGAATTATGTTCAGTTAAGCAGCGACTATAGAGGATAGAGGATCCACATTCTGAATCCTTTAATGCCAAAGCTTTAGGCAAAAGCCTGCTGGAACTACAGAAGCTCTCTTGCTTGAAATAACATCAGAGAAAGTATCAACCAGCTGCCCAGCAAGTGATGCTGGATCTTCGATTAGGGTATCAACAAATGCCTTGACAATCCTAACATCTTGTGGTGTAGCTCTTAAGCTATACCACGTTAAGAACTTCTGCCTGAATGTCTTGTCAATATGCTCACCACACTCTAACCATCTAACTACTTTGACATAATACTCAAAATCCTTATCTCCAGTTCCAGCACATTCTTCATGCCATTCTCCAACTCTCTTCTTTGAAGAACAGCCAACTTGTGGTCCATCCTCCTTCCCCGATCCATTATCAAGATCCTTGCTGCAATGTTCTGATTTCCCTTTCCGGCCGAGGCTTCCCTTCACATTCTCCATCTTGCAGGGTGTGATGGGTAAGCCAGCATCCACACTACCTACAAATGGTGCGAATTCTAAGGCAGTCTGGAGAGGTGCATTTGACCCATTATCAGTGCTCGTCTCTTCTGTTGTTTGAACATCTGAACATTGCTTGTTCTCAAGATTTATAGCATCAGTATTTGGCAAGGAGGTTACTTTGACAATGCTATCTTCCTCATCACCTAAAGATACCATTACTTCTTCATTTCCTATATGACTTTTACTAGCAAAGGCGACCGTGGTGCAGCACAAGTCTGTAGAAATTGCTTTATCAGTGTTATCACAACAAGAAAGACAATTATCCCCTCTGTTCTCAGCCTCATTGCTGCATAGCACGATGTTATTAGTTTCATCCTCCACTGAAGAAGGATTAGAAAGGTTGCTGCAATTTGTTGGTGGACTTTGACTTCTTTCAACTTCTAAACTTTTCATGTTCAGATTAGATAGTTCATTTTCAGCTTTACTGGAGCAGAATTGAACTTCAAACATTCCCAGTTCTTTCTTGCTATCAAGGGAAACAATCTTGAGAACATAATCTGTAGCTGGCATCAGATCTGAGAGCACAAACCTAGTGTTTGGGGAAAACAATGTTCGAGTTGGTTCTACTGGATATTCCGTTTCAACAGCTTTCCGATGCCACAAGGAGTAACCAACAACATTCTCCATAGATGACCCTTCAGAACTCAAAACAACGGTCACAGATGAGGGAAAGACATCCTCAAATCTGACAAGCTTTGATTCTATCACCTCGCAATCTAAAAAATATAGCCCATGTAAATGCTGATTACTTCACTTGACTTAAATCAAATGAGTACCAAGCTTAGACAAAGAAACCAATGAAGGCATCACAATAACACATGAAGAGAAAGGTAAATCTACAGAATCAATAAAAATAAGGAGAGTATCTATGTACTGCACAAACAAACCACAAATTAGAATGAGTATTACCTTTGACCTTAGCATTAGATGGCATTTCAGACACTCTCTCAGAGAGAAGGGCATCTATGTACTCAACAGCCAAGCCACAAAGTTGCTGAACAGCAGGGCCAAATGAGAGCCTGTTCACTATACCTCTAGCCATCTTCACAGGCAAACCAGTCAAAGGGCCAACATCTGCTTCAAGCTTGTTCACTGCTTCATCTAGAACTTCATACAGCTTTGGGCAATTTTCGGCACCAAAAGAAAGTTTTTGGCTCAATGAAAGCCTATAACATAATATGTCTACACGCCTGGTATCTCTTGCTACAATCAGTTGTTTTTTCAAGGAACTGCAAGAATTGGAGAAATAGAACATCTTTAATCCTAATAAAAATAGCTTGCTTTTTAATTATAGAGGTCTGTATCTCACAGTAAATAAAAGAGGTGATGTACATGTCATTAGTTCTTTGACATTTTTCCTTTATGGATTCTACAACCATCTCACTAAACTATGTTTCATATTAATAAATAATGTTTTTATAACATCATCCAACCAAGTGCATACAAATGATTAACATGTTATTCACTAAAATATAGTGGCCTAAAACCAAATTATTTAAATTTTAGTTAATAACATGTTAGTCATTTGTCTGCACTTGGATGATGTTATAAAAACTTTATTTATTAATATGAATATTTGAGTTGTTTGATTTGAACTTCTAAAATGTTTCTAGTGAAAGGTAGATTGTTTTTTTTCTCTTCATTTTTAAAGCTATAATTTTTTTCTTATATTATTTTTTTGTACAATCTTCAAAATATTGTTTTTTCAAGGAACTGCAAGAATCAGAGAAATAGAACATCTTTAGTCCTAAATAATAAACATAGCTTGCATTTTAATTATAGAGGTATGTATCCCACAGGCCACAGTAAATAAAAGAGCTTATGTACATGTCGTTAGTTCTTTGACATTTTTCCTTTATTGATTCAACAACCATCTCACTAAACTAGTCAGCTGCATCCTGACAATAGTGGAAATAGTTCACTATAATTCAATAATGCAATTGAAAATTAAGTTCACAACAGCAGTACACCTTAGTCCCAAACAAGTTGGGGTTTGTTATATGAATCCTCATTGATCATGTTATCCATTTAAACTCACAACATGCCAATATTTTGCAAATACAAATAAAAAGTAATAAAAGTTCTCCATAATTTTTTGAACCTACAAATCTCTGAAATGCTAAACCACTACTATAAAGTATAGGGCAGTAAAAGTGCTAACATGCCTAAAACAAATTTTCAACTAATACTCTAATAAGCATTGACTACAACAATAACAGAACTCCTGTAGTCCCACAAGTGAGGTGTGAGGAGAGTAGGACGTATGTAGACCTTGCCCCTACATTTGTGGGGCAGAGAGGTGGTTCCGATAAACCCTCGCCTCAAAAGAACAGGCAACGAATATCTAGATTTTTATCCACTGTGCCCCACTTCGCTATGTCTGCATGGGTTCCCAAGGATTTTAGGTCCTTAGATGCATTTTCCTCCTCTTTTAACACTTACCTTCACAATGGTTGCACACCTATAGACCGGTGTATTACACTGCAGATTGACACATGATGAACAAATTATTTCAAGAAGCTTTCGGACATTTTCCCCTCGACGTGTGCTACTTAAACATTCTAGTAATATAATCATTTCTAATCTTGTCAAATTTAGTATGACCACAAATTCATCTTAGCATCTGTATTTCTTCAAAATTCTTCTTGTAAATGTGTTTAACTTTCACGACCCAAGAATCACTCTCATAAAGCATTGTTGGTTTTATAACTATTCTAAAAAACTTACCTTTCACTTTGGTAGGCATCTCTCTACCACATAACAACCAGAAACACTATTTTGTTTCAACTATTCAATTCTGATTCTATTTGTAACATCTTCATCTATAATTTCATTCACCCAGTAAATTGCCTGCATGGAAAAAAAAAAACACAATTTCCTATCTTCTTAACCTTGTTCTTTTATCGCTTGAAGCTAATGACGTTTGAGTTAGCAATAACATGAAAATGTACCCCCTTCATCTTTGGGTGCAAGAATTCATCTCATTCAAGAACTTGCTTGGACAGCGTTACAATCTGTCTTCTCCGGTGAAATTTTGCCGCCACACTAACCACTCATCGGCCATCTTCTTCACCGGCGCCAAAACTCCCTGTGACTATTTCTCTCTCACTTTCTTGGACCCTGACTCTAGGGTTTTCTTTCACCACCGCAGCTCGTCCATCACTGCCACTGCTCTGGAAAGCACATCTACTCCAGCAACTCTAGAGTTTTCTTTCTCCATAATTCTGGGTTGGGTCTCAAGTTACAAGGGCAGCAGCAGAACACGGACCGCTTACCTCCCCAGTGCCCGGATGAAGTACCTCCTATCTCCTCTTCAAGTTACAGGTTCTATCTTCCCAAATTATTCCAGTTTCACATCAGTTTGCCTTCAGTTTCTGGTTTTCAGATTTGTTTCATTGCTATATGCATATCTAGAGTTACATTTCAGATCTAGTTTTCAGATTGGTTCCCTATATTGTCTTCAGATCTATCTTTCTTGTATCATTGTTAATTGTGTAATATTGCATATCTCTATCCCTTCTTCACTTTGCTCTTGATTTAACTCTGCCCTCGGACTCTTCGTTTCTTGATCCATAGTGCCATATATTTCATAGTTCTTGTGGTTTCTCTGGTGTTAGTATTTTGGGTATACCCATATTCTAGAGCTAGTTGCTTCAGTTCATTCTGTATAATATTTCTTGCTTTTCTTCTGTTCTTATTATAGTTAATTAGTCCTAGTCTCTCTGCTTGATTCAATAGTTTTAGTAGATTCTTATTTCTCTTGCATCTTGTTTAATTTACATCTCCTTTGGTGGCTTTGGTGTGGTCGAATAGGATCATGTCCAGGGGGCAAGGGGAAGGGATGGGACATGAGTTAAGTGACCTCATCTTGTATCATGTTGGTTAGACCCTCGTCTTGTATTATGTTGGATAGCTCATCCGTAGCTAGCATAAACAAGTATGGGTTCAATGACAATCCCTGGTGTAAATCCATGATTACAAGATCTCCTTCGCATTCCCTACTACAGTTCTCAGGCTAGTGAAGACTCTTTCATACATGTCTTTTATGACTTTTATATAGTTAACAGGTCCTTTCTTCTCCGACACGACGACACCCACCAAAGAACCTTTCTTTGTACTCTATCATATAATTTTTCTAGGCCAATGAACACCATGTGCAAATTTTGTCTACGATAAACTTCCATCAATCTCCTACACAAAAATGTAGTCTCAGATGTAGATCTACAGGGCATGCACCCAAACTGGTTATCTATTACTCTTGTGGTGTTTCCAAGTCTATGCTCTTATCATTCTTTCTCATAATTTCATCATATGACTCATACATTAAATGCCACAATAGTTCGCAAAACATTGAATATCACCTTTATTTTAATAAAAATTGGAATCAAGGTACTCAATCTCCACTAGTACCAAAAAGGGGAAAAGAGAGAACAACAAAAACTAGTTTGGTATGTAGTGTTCATGTCTGTACGTGTTCATGAAATATACAAGGCCTTCAATCCCTCCCATCCAAAGATTTTTTGGAACAAAATAGGAGTTGTTTACAAACTGGCTTATGGAGATTAAAATATCTGCAAAAACTATCATTCAATAGGATCACAAAAGGAAGTGACAGACAGACTCGCAGCTTATATCTATGCTTCCCAATTTTGAACCATCCGAAGATCCAGTGAATGCTTACAAGGAATAAGCAATATGCATGTGACATCAGAGAAACTATAAAATAAGCCAAATATCATGGAATAACTGAATGTTTGGACAGCATAATATTAACATTAGATTTGATTGGATGAGGAGAAAGAGTTACTATAAACCATAATAGATACGTAAAACACCTACAAAGATGTTTGAACTTTGGAAAGATGGTCGATCGTCAGAAAAAATCTGTTAGAACTTCCTAAATATTAATGGTATCATTCTTCTTTGGATGGAATAATCTCAAACACCGTCAGAGAAGTAAATCTACATACATGTTCCATAATTCATACATGTGACAAGTCTTGTTTTTAGTGGTTTATACATTTATTCCATCAGATGTCCCAGACTATTATATATTCAGGGCATGGAAATTTCAGTTATCAAACTGACAAACTGAAATCCAAGTATCAAACCCAAAACTAGATCCCCTTAGGAGATCTAACTTGTTGTTCTAATGAAGTACAGTCAGACTTCGCATAGGCTAGAAATGTCCAAGATATAATAAATGTTATATATCTGCCATCAGCAAATTCATTTACTATACAGAAGACCATACTTCTTTCTTTTTTTTTACGGTGGTGTCAGGGTCAACTTAGACACACCTCAACTAATTCCACCGGGATGTTACCTCCCATCAGCAGAAGTACCGGGTAACTCTACCCACCAAACAGGAATCCATACTTTCATGAATAGAAAATAACCTTGGTAGCACAACCAACTTGTTGGCACTGATATCTGCTTAGAATGGTCTTCCCCAGTAGTCCTAGGAGTCCCTTTGCCACAATAAAGGTTAAAAGGCAAGGGCTCATAGCCAGCTGCAAATCTAACCCTTTCAGTCCATTACCCACAATAAGTCGATCATTTTGACAACAACACAACAATCGTCTCAGCAACTCAAATCATATTATATAAGTGGATTAGATAAGCAAGTATAGACTACACCAATAATTGGGACATACCGCACTTATGTGGGATAAGAAAAACATGGTGAATCCAAAGACATTGGTAAAAAATACCTTTTGAACTCTAAGACTTGGATCAAAGCTTCAAAAAAAAAAAAGAACTGGCAAAATATATATAGGAAGGAGGAAAAATTCAGAAAATATGTAATACAAATTTGCACTCGTATGACCTTAAAGGCTAGGAATAAAGCAGGCATCAAAAGCTTTGGTCATGCTACAGTGTCATATGGTTTATTTAGGAAACATTGCATATATGGGCTAAGGTTCCATTGTCGAAAAAAAGAGGAGTGACTTGAAGTTCTCAATACATCTATCTTTTAGCACATGTTAGACATCAAATTTCGAAATTGTTAATAGCCAATCTGACGAGCTTGTAGCGGCACAACAAGCTCGTTGAGCTCATAGCAAAGGGAAGGTATTCTCCACAGCTCCCACAAGCTCAATCATCAATACAAGCTTAGGATTGTAAAATTATGCAACACCATACACAAGGACAAAACTCCTCTACAAGTTTGAAACTGAAATCATGGTTTTAAGCCTTAATTTACAGATTCATCTCCTTGGGAAAAGAAGAATCGAGATGCAAATATACATTCTCATAAGCGATTCAAGAAAAAAAATAAGAAATTGAGTAAAAGGATTCTGAACTCTCTACAATTAGGCTTTTCCGGATGCTCATGTTGAACATCTGTGGTGATAAATGGTCCAGAGTACTAACATAAATTTGATGTCATTAATTATTCCCCAAAACACAGCATATTAATCCAAAGATGAAATTTAAGTAGCCAAAACCTTGATGTCGATAAAAATACTTTTATGAAATAAACTATAATACACATAATTTCAGAAAAAATAGAAAGAAAAGATAAAATTGGGATGTGAAAATATAGATGATATGCGAAAAAAGCAAACTTTTTCTTACTGTGGAATCATAAAATACAAGATCAGGTGAAGCTGTTAGAAAGCAATATAAAGAGTTACCTTAATAGATCATTAGCTTTTCCACAGGATACACAGTAAAAGGTGCCATTATTGCCCTTGTCTGATTTATCAGTTGTAATACAAGATTTTCCGTGCTTCATGGCACACTCAAGGTGGCATGACATCCCACATGAATCCCCTTGAAAAGGAGGTTCTGAGCTGCAAATCAACCATAGACTAGGGTCCTTGTTGTCATCGTAGTTACGGCAAATACAACATGAACACCTTTTGCAAAATGCATCTTGGCCACTTAATTTAGCTCTGCAAGCCAAATTTTTGCAGTACACAACATTGGCTAAACTGACATTAGTATTTGTTGTTGAAGAAGTATTAGCTTCAATAGGAAAACGACTTGGATGCTCAGCCTTTCTCTGCCTTTTGGAACTCCTCTGGCCACTCTCTGATGAAGGCTGCATTTCAAGATTAGATGTATTTTCTTGCTCCAATGATTTCTTCTCAGATACAATTTTCAGTAGGTTTTCTATTATTTTTAATTTTGTCAGTCCAGTATACTTCCTTTCTTTTCCCATCTCTGCACATAATATCTGCAAAATCTCCTGACGGCTCCAAGATTGCAGCATTTCAGGGGCACCATGTGACTGCTTTGATAATTCATAAACTAGTTCTCTCTTTTCCTCCATACTTAATTTACTGCACTTTGATGGATCAAGTGCAATACCTAGAACATGAAAGCAGGAAAAACTTCAAACAAACAGGTTTGTAAATTATCATCGGATAAAAATCACTATGCTTAGCAAAGTACATTGGACAATTCCATAGTAATAAAACGGGGACATTTCTTTCTTCTTTCATTTAGATCTTGTATTTTAAAATTATTTTTGTAATGTTATCTCATTTTTGAAGGATCTTCAAGCTTATTTTTTTCAATTTTCTTACTGCTTGTGGCTTCCCAGAGTAATGGAACATATTTTAACTGCAAGCAGATCACCAGAAAATGTGAAGAAAAACCATCACGTGTAATCAAATGCAAGTAATAGGTAAGAAAGAGAGATCACTCAATCGATTAACTAAAACTAGTATATCATATATATACCTCATATTCATTTTGCTCTATTTAGGTCCATCTTGTCCCAAAACTAAATATTTTATCTTTTAAAGCAAATTTGAAGATCTCTAAAATTAGAGATTTGCTATATCTAACACTTACAACACAACTGATAAATATATAGCACTAACCAGATGTGGGGCATAATATAAGTATGACTACTGCTTAACATTAACCCGAAGTTCCAAATTATTTGGTATTACCTATATGAGTCATTTGCTTCTACCGTATTCTGCTCATAACAAAATTTCATTTGATAAGTTGAAGGACATTCGTTCCAAATCCTAAGCCAAGCCCTCATTGACTTCAAAATATCATACATATTTAGAAACAATGTCCCTCCATGTGATTTAAGTGTAGTCCGTGCTCGTTTAACACCTTCAATTATCATAATGTTGCTTCTATAGACTTGGTGCATTTGGCGGTCTAAGTAGGGTGATCAAACTATGTCAGGCACCCTCCTATATATCCACTACATATTATATTTGTTTTATGACAAGGAAACCTTCAGCCACTACCCGTCGCATGTACACATGCTAAACCCTACTCATGTGCAATAACTCACAAATCACACATGAGAGGTCTACCGCACTAGGCAAGCCCCGTGTGACGAGCCTGATCCAAAATACCAATCCCCTGCTATCGCTAGCAAGGGGTTTCAAACTTGAGACCTCCATTATGGAAGTGCTAAGCCAAACCATTTGAGCCACCCTGAAGGATATCCCTTATGAGTGATATGTGCACTTTGTGATATTCTAAAAAAATGGGATGAGTTCATTAGGAGTTCTCAGTAAACATGATCAAACCATCTAAGAACAACATCCTAATCCTATGCGTGTTCTACTTTCAACCTTTTGTTACATGTGATCATTTCTGATGACTGAACATCCATCATATATTTACATTTTTACGGTGCTCCTTTTTGAGGATGTGGTAGGGCCTTAAAATTCCTACATTGAGTCTTATATAACACCTTGTCTCACAATTGTCTATCAAACTTGTCTTTCACTTTGTTAGACATCTTCCATTCAAATCGCACCTTCATACCATTCCTCCGTATCAAGCATCATGTTTGTAGTTTGATTCTTTTTATCAAGAGAACAATTTACATCATGTTTTAGTTTTGATATGTAACACCACTGGTTCATGGCATTCTCCTGATGACCAAACTTATATATCTAAGATGTCTGCATCTTAAATGTCACAATCTGACCTAATCTCATCTCAACATCATTGTTCTTATAGTACTATACTTACATAGTGCATATATTTTACCCTACTTCTACTTGACTGAGGACTCTCCCCTTTTGAGCAAGTATCCATAATTCCAACTTTTTACTAGCTCACTAGGTTATATTAATAGTAATTATTATTCTTATAATTATAATAATTGGCTCAACATTATCAGCAAATACATGAACATAGAACATCATCTTGTATAAAAAATGGTTAGTGCATCTATAATTATAAGTTAAACTATAAGTTCAAACCATATCTCTAGTGTAAAAAAATAAATAAAAGTTTGGATAAGTTGTTGTTATTCTCAAGAAGTCTCTTATACATGCATTTTTTTCAACTTCAGCCAAGGGTTAAGCAGAAACAACCTCTCCACCTCGCTAAGGTAGAGGTAAGGTCTGTATGCATCCCACCTTCCCAACTTCCACCTCCCCTAGACCTTACCTTTGGGAACATTGGGTATGTGTTATTGTTGTAAGTTGGTGCAAAATCCGGTTACACAATTCCTCCATATCTACTCTCATTGTTTTAATACTTGTCAAATATCCATTGATTATATATCTTCCCCATTTATACATTTCATGTCAAATCATTATTTCATAAGCATTCTCTAAAAGACTCTAATGGCCTTCTAATAATATGTTTCTCTACACCGATGACAATCTGCTGGAGATTGTTCCTCTCCCTATAAATTTTCGACAGTCTTCTCACAGATATATCCTCTTCCCACAAAAACTGAAAAACAAAATCCTTTTTTCCACACGGGTAACTGCCTAAGAGGAAGGAAAAGAATCAGAAAGATCATTTGTAAAAGCATAGAAAAAAAAACAGAAAAGGTAAATTCTTTAGCTATTTCTAGTTTGACTTCACCTAATAGTAGCACTCAATTTCCATGATTAATTCCAAACAGATCTTATAATATGATTGTGTCATCATAGGGTAGTAATAACCTCCATAATTCAACTGTCCTTATAGGTAATCCTCCTTTTCTAAATTGTAAAATGTGAAGGATCACAACACAGTAGGCAAAGAAAAAATGGCATCATTGTCATCCTCCAAATATAATAATAACTAATACATACCCCAGAAGAGTAGGTAACTAAAGTAGGTAACCAACCACCAATCCTAACACCCATTTCAGTAAACCAAAAAAAAAATCACAATGTGAAAAAGAATAAAAAACTATATTTTTTGTACGTATAAAACAGTAACTAAATTTCATTTCATACTATATAATATGCAAAGAGATAATAAAAATCAATTACATAAAAAAGAAAAAAAAAGAGATGGGATCAACACCATTTCGTTATCAATAACACATTAACAGGATGAAAAATAAACAGATCAGAAAATTTAACAAGTTACTTCCTCTATCCCAATTAATTTCTCCGATCAATTATTGAAACTTGATTTGACTTTATCTGACAAAAACCAAATAACACTCATGAAATTGTATGATTCACCATTGTTACCTTCAAAGGAAGAAAAATCCATGGATGCAGTTCCAAAACAAACCAATTTTGCAGCTGAAACAGCAGAGATGTGATAATTTAGAGCAAATATTGAAGAGAAAAAGGTATTGGTGATCGATCAGTTTGATGGAGAGAGAATGAAATAGCAGAAAAAGGAGAAGGAGATTAAAATTGGGGTGAAAATGGAGGAATCCATGGGGTCTTCAACGTGGGCTTTTCGGTACCCGAAGCAGTAGTGATAGAGAGAGAGGTAGTGGGGTCATCTAGTGGTTGGTTACAACTTACAAGAGCTGCAGATTTGTAGGACAAAAAATAAATATTATATTTATCGTAAAAACAACAACAACAACAATAATAATAATAATAATAATAATAATAATAATAATATGGGCTATTGATTACGATACGTAAGCCACTAACTATAGGACAAATATTATTTTTTTAAAAAAAAAAGATGCTCCATGAATATAAAGATAGAATGTTAGATGATATAAAGTAGCACATGTTGTAAATAATATTTTTTTGTAGTTATGGGCGATCATTATTCATATCTTCATTAATCCTTTCTTTTTATGAGATTAGTAATAATATTCATATCTTTGTTAATTATTCATAATTAACCTCCGTTAAAAGTTTAATTAAGTTATGATATAGTTGTTTGAAAAATATTTATTTGTGTTATTATTTTTTAATTTCGATTATCTCAACAAAATTCCAAATAATTTTTTAATTGGGGTTCTAGATCAAATGTTCTTTTTATAATTTTATTTTCACCAAGAACATAAGAAGAATACCACGAACTCCTAAATTTTAACTTCATCAATTCTTAAGGAAATCGGCTCAAAATTTAAGAGTAGCTTCCCTCCGAGCTAGATACCAAAATTCAATATTTTTTTAATCTCGAATTTAACTTAACAGAACAAGACTCACTTGAAATTTCTTCAAAATTATAAAGCTACACCATTCTTTAATGGTAAAATTTTCTCCGCAACTTAAAATCACTTGTAAATTTGATTATGGACTAAACAAACACAATGTAGCAAAGATCTAGTATCAAAAATAGCAACAGAACAAGAACCAAAGCAGGATTTTGAAATTTTAGAACTAGTGTTTTTTTTAATATCTTTCTAACAAGGGCGGATTTTTTAACTCCACAAATGATTTTTGAATTTTGACATTTAAAAAAATAAAATTAATGACATGACTGAGTTAAAACTGGTCATGTGTAAAAAATAATTTTTCAAAATTGAAGTTAAAAAATAATTGCATAAATGAGTCTGTTCTCAAATGATAAAAATTTAATAAATGACATAAATAAGTCTTTTTTCCAAAGTTCAATGACACGTTTAAACATTTTTCCTTTATAATTACATATTTTTTCACCTTTTGAAACATTAATGTTATACTTATAAATTATAATCCTCTTTTTGTTATAGAAATGACTCATATATGTCCTTTTACTTAATAGATTAATTTTTGTTGATTAAAAGTTCATGTTTTTGGCTTAAATTTAAGAAAATGTCATGTGACTTTTAAAATATCTCACCTTCCACCATATCCACCCGACCGAATTGGACACAATAAAAACCCACCCGCTCAAATCATGTTCACCCATTTCAAATCATCGTTTCTACCTCAACGAGAAACAAAATTAAATTTTATGAAATTGCGTTTGGTATATTTTTCCAGCAATCTTTTCTTTCTTATTCATTCTTCTTCACACTAACTGAACATGTTTGTTTATAGATAAATATCACTCACTTTATGCTTAAGTTATGGGCTTACGATATATAACCTTACCTAGTTTCTGTTGAAGATGGATCAATTTATAGACCCTAACAAATTAAAGATTAAATGTGCAATATATAGGATACCGTTGCGGCTGCTTAAGTTTCTAAAGAGGCAATTTGACGTTTTATTTTGATTTTTCCCTCCATTTCATTGTGAATCGAAGTTCTGAATATTTGTTTCTCGAATATCACTCGGAGATGACCACAAAAAATTTTATTTTTTATTTCATTTGAGTGTGGAAACAACGAAATGAAATGAGTTAGGTTAATTTGAGTTCGTGAGATTTTTTGTTTCCGATTGGATCAGGTGGTATGGTGGAATGTGGGTATTTTAAAAGCCACATAATTTTTTCTTAAAATTAAAGTAAAAAAATGAATTATTAATTATAAAAAATTAATATGTCAAGTAAAAGTGCATATATGAGCCATTTTTATAACGACAGAGGCATAGATGAGCCAATTTTTAAACAGAGCGTATATCAACTCCAAATCATAAAGTTTAGGAGTAAATCAGGACCTTTTCCCTCATATTTATGTAATAGCTTCTCAGTTAGCACGTGTGTTTCATGTGAATTTTTATAGATACGTTAGAATGACTAAAATTTTATGGAAATATATATGTAAATTGTAATGAATAAGAAAATGTAACAATTACAAAATAAGAATAAAGACTTACCGGAATGAAAAATTCATAGAAAACTAAATTAAGAAGTCTAACAGAGAAAAAAAAAGAAAAAAAAAAGAATATTTAAGAAAAAATACAATATAGACATTATTTTTATAAGATTGATATATATATAGATGAAAAAATGAGTATAAAATTAGTACATAACTCTCTAAGTTCTTATTGACTCCTTTCATATCCTATCAAAATTCAAGAGTCTTCATCATCTACTTTTACTATAGAATGAAAATAATAACCTAATAATCTTGGTAGGGGTTTCATGAGATAAATAAGTTGAATTTATATAAATAGAATCGAAGGAATATCAAAAGATATCTTAAAGTTTTAGTTTAAATATTTGGAGGTTATGAATATGAAAAGATGAGAGTTATGAATATTAAGAGTATAAAAGTTAATAAGTAATTAGAAAATAATAATAAATAAATGAAGAATATGAAAAAAAATAAAGTTAGCAAAAAAATAAAGTTAGCAAACCGTGTAGAAAGAACAACTAAAGTTCTTATCATGTGATTAAGCGTCAATGAATTTAAATTTGTGAAGCTAGAGTAATTCTTTAATAATAATCAAGAGGACATTATCAATGTGCATCTCCATTTTATAGATTTGTACCCTTTAAATTATTAAATTTCGCTATTATCATAAAGGATAATACTTTATCCACATCATTATATTATTCATGAGAGGGGTTAAGGAAAAAGTTATAAAAAGAGGAAAAGTAAAGAAATTTAGGTAAAGATTTTTTTTAAAAAAAATTATAATTATTATATACATATAGATTATAGATGATAAATATCAATAAATTAGATATTTAATTAGGAATTAATCTAAGGAAGTCTAAAAGTCATTAATATTTAATTAAATTTATACAATCAAATATTGAAATATTTTATAACAATCTAATGTATAGAGGGGATAAAATCGTAATTCAACTTTCAACTTTTTTGTTCATGCTTTTAGTTATATATGATTTTAAATTTTAAATTTTCTCTGATGTTGCTTTTTTTATATATAAAAAAAATACTCGACTTTCCTTGAGATGTTTTTAATTTTTATGTATTTCTTATGATACACTTTTTGTTTTAATTTCAGGAAGATAAAAAAAGAAGAAGACAGTCTTCAATTAAATATAAGATGGATAATGGAGATATGCTCCTTTCTGATAGTGCTACAATTCACACTATATTAAGAAAAACATATTTTTTAATTTAAAAGGATCTATATTAATACAATATATGATAGTAAAAAATTGATTGAGAGTTATGAAAGAAAGGTTGCATTACTACTTGAGAGAACTATTGATTATTATCAACAGATTGTATTGTATTTAGTTTTTAAAAAGCTTGTTAAATTTCAAGAATTTGTTAAAATGACAATCATGTTGAGATTGACAATGAAGGAAAAGTTGAATAACCTAATATTACTACAATAAAAATGAGAGAAACAATTAAGCATGAAAATATATATATACTTTCTTTTAGGTTACGACATACAAATATTGGTACGATTAAGTTGCATGTCATAATAAGCCAAAGATTTACTCATCTTAATGAATTTATCATTTGACATGATTGATTGGATCATATCAACTCATTTAACTCAAATTCTTGAGTTATTGTCATATTTTTATGTTGGGGGTGGGGGTGGGGGTGGGGGTGGGGGGGATGGGGATATGAGTCACTACTTCTCTTGTATTTATATATTACTTGAAAACAAATTTTGATATACTAAAATATAAAAAAAAATATTAAATTACACCGACAAAAGATTTGGCTTCCCACAGGAACCAACAAGCATCTCGCTGGCTAAATATAAACTTGAAAGGAGTAAAACTACCTCAATACTGTTGTTGTAATTGATGTGGTAGAATGTTTGATCACAACTCGCCAATCCTAAAGTAGATGGTCTTGTGAGAACTAAAGGTTGACATGGAGAAGCGATTGACGCTCCACAATCCTGAATCAGAATTTCGTAGTCTAGCAGGCATTCAAAGATGGAAGTTGAAGGGTAAAACACTTCAAATAACTCTTTTACCATTGAAACTTATTCTTAAGGAGAACTATCAATACTTTATCACAAAGATAATTTCAATAGGTGATGTATCACTTTCTCTTTTTACCAGTTGAGACTTCACAATTGAAACTTAGTGCCTCATTTGGAAGGTTCCAATGACAGGTTGAAGATTTGTATGCTTATATACCTTTTTCTTCTTCCCAATTAGAGATAGTAGAGAGAACTCTTTATTTTGGTAGAAAAATTATCTATAGAGTATAATGAAGAACTTTTTAACTTGTAAAGAAAGAAACCTCAAATTTGTATCGTTCAAGTTGGATTTCAATTTTTTTAATTATATTAGCTTGAAAGACTTCCTACATCGATATTGTCTCTATTTTTCTTTTATGAGTAGCTAAATTCTTGCTAGGAGTGTGCGCTCTTCATGAGGGGGAGGGTGTAAAACCCCTAATAAGTATTAATTACTCAGTTTTAAAATTGATTGTATTGCATGGATCTACAGTTGTCTAAAAGTTTTAATCTAAAAATCAGTGGTTGCAAACATTGATTGAGCTCTCTTACACCATTTTGGCTTGAGAAAACACAATGTGGTTGGGTAAGACTTAATAGTGAGGACTTGTTAAAATTTACTATTAGGACTTGATTCAGGAATGAGATAATCAGAGTAATTTCTCATTTAATTATATGAACTAGTGATAGTCTATATACTCAAGCAACACTTGTGTTTTAATTAAAAGGGTCTTGAAGTTTGAGAAAATATCAAGTGTAGCC